TGGCTGCACGCTCGCCCCAATGTGTTTGCACCCCCTGAGCAAATGGCGTCAGAAACCTTGAATCCCCCTATTGTAAATTTCGACATACTAAAATGCTGTTTTCTGACCATCAGAATTCTGTCAAATCTTCTCCAAAGTCCAGGAAATGGCATTTCAGAGATTCTAAATTTAAAAATTTCCTTGGACCTTTGGCCCTTGCTTTCAGCTACCCTAAACTCCTGACCTGATTTTACTCGTCAACGGAGAAGCTCTGTTAGGCATGTCCCAACTGTGCTCGGCAACTTTTGAGCAAATTTTTACGTTTGGAGCAAACTACACTCTACTAGTTACTACATTCTTTGTAGCAAAAAATGGTATGACTTTAGCCTCTTCGTCACTCTGTAGCTTAATGGGTTAACCTAAAAATCTGACAATGTCTCTAGTTAACCCATTGCATCCCAGTGCACCCTACTTATTTTTTACTTGCTTAACGCCAGATGATTTTACTCGTCGTGACAGAAAACTCTGCAGCTTAATTAACGAAAAAATCCTATAGGATCCTATAGGAATTAATTAACGAAAAAATCCTATAGGATCCTATAGGAATTCCTATAGGAATTCCTATAGGAATTCCTATAGGAATCCTATAGGAATTTCATATAGGAATTCCTATAGGATCCTATAGGAATTTCCTATAGGAATTCCTATAGGAAAATAAATTTTCTAATAAATAAATTAATTTTTGAATTCCCTATAGGAATTCGTATAGGATGTTATATAGAATCCTATTGCTGCTATTATATGTTTTTACTCTGTTTTTTATAGCAAAATACAAAACAAGTGTAACTCCAAAGATCGATATCGACCTACATTGATATATATTGTTATTGATCTTTGGAGTTACACTTGTTTTGTATTTTGCCAAAATACTCAGTGGTTATGTTTTTAGTATCAATGTGTTTAGCTAGCTAGGATTTCTATAATTCCTGATGGTCCCTAATGCAAGCATTCGTGTTGGAATTTTATCCCCATAAGAATATAAGATACAGCCAATAGTTCGCGCTTCAACTGGATGCCCTGGTGACTAGTTTACGTTTCAGAGCGCAAAGCTTCATGGGATAGCATCGTTTTATTTGTGGTAAAAAATATGGAAGCTGGTCAACTCGGCCCACTGACCAACTCGGTCCATGCCATCTTGGCCCAATTGTTAACTACTGTTTGACATATTGGGAAAGCTAATATTTTACAAACGATAGCACGAAACCAGTACAGCCATTTGCAGTTGCATTGGGTGTACAGATGAGTAAAGTTTGAGAACATCCAATTTGACTTAATTTAATTAAAGAATCTATCGAAGTTTCAAATTCTCGATCTGTCCGTTTTGGTACTAAATTACTGATCATTCAAATCTCTCTCAAAATTTGCAAAGATAGAACGGAGTCATGCTCCTAGCTCTTGTTTAATGGTTAGATTAGTCATTTTACAAGCGGGCAGAGTTGGTCCTTGAACGGTGGGCCAAGTTGGTTAGTGGGCCAAGTTGACTGTAAAGCAAAAATATTTGGTGTCTTGTACTATTGTGCTTGGAATATTTCGTTGATATTTTTTACTCAAATGGTAAAAAAGGAATCGGAAAGTTCTTAACATGTTATTCAGATGTCACATGTAAGAATACTTTTCTATTTGACTTATTATTTAAGCACTTTAATTGCAAAATAATGTGGTGAATATGATTGTTAACTTCAGCCATGTGGGCCATGTGTCTTAAAATTCCGTTGAATGTTTGAATTTGCCGCGTTCAATTTGCATATAAAATATACAAAATGTTGGTTTCTGGCAGTAAAGAAAGAATGAAATCTAGATTCGAACCTATTATTGTGAATTATATAGATCGGAAGTTTCACACTATTAATAATTTAGCAATTATTTTCTTTGGCATAATTTGGCACTTTGCTTAAGAGTTAAGACTATTGTCAAGCTGGGTAAATAATTATATGAAATAATATATATTAAACATCCGAATGCTTTTAAAGATATGTTTGCATTTTAGTACTTCAATAAGGATTGGAATCAGAGAGGAACAACAGCATTTAATGTGCTATTTTTAGTGTATCGATAATCAATCTTTAATGTGCTCAAGTGTCCTCTACTGTATTTGCATTACTCTGTCTAAATTGCCAGATGATTTTACTTGTCAAGGGGAGAGTCTTTTATTTAATATTGTCTATATATTGTGATCGCGTCGCCATATTGTCATTAGTGGGTTTATAAAGAGCTTCACTTGTATAAAGTGATGTTCACAATGATAGTGCTGAGACAGTGCCTCAAATGTTGTCTTTGTATATTTCAAGATTAATATTTGAGCTGGGCAGTGCTTGAATGTAGCCCTGGCTCCAAATATTGTTCTCAACAATCAGCAAATATAACCAGATTCACGAACAATAGTCCATAGTTTATTTAATATGTGCTTTATCACTTTATATATTAAGCATAAATATATGTGGCACGGCATTGATAGTTTTGGATGGCCTATATTTTGCCGGATTCCAGTAACCCAATCCAGCATATCCCTACTCTCTGCACACGGCCATGTCTCTGCTTAACATACTATACATACTATACATATTACAACTTGAAAGATATTATTTGCATTTCACTTGGTTGGACTAGAATACTGGGTTTGGTGGATAATCCAATATATATAATTATATATATAGACACTATTTAATTAAGACCCATAACCAGGAACGATTGTGAAAAATGTAACACTAAATCCTCGACCAGGAATTGAACCTATACAGCCCTGTGCTTCCGGGGCAGAGCTCTAACCAACTGAGGTCCGGAATCGCAGGGCCATAGGTTCGATTACTGCCAGAGGACTTAGTTTTCACTTGGATTATTCACCAAACCCAGTATACATATTACACCCTGCATTACCTTGTACCAATATGAACAGTCTTTGTAATTCATGGTGATTATGACAATAAACTATGGAAATTATCTTATATATAAAGGATAAATCTTATTATTATTTATTTTAAAAATTTCTGGTTTCTGATTGATTAACAGCCAACTGTGAAATTGTCATATCAACTCAATGGCTACCCAAATATGGATTTTTCACATTCATATTGGCAAAATGACGTCAAAGAGTCGATATGAAAAAAATTTGGACGTCTTTGCGCCATATTACTATGACGACGAGAATCATATCGACTCACTGACGCCATTGATATGATGACGGCTGCCGAAGAACTAACTAGGAATTTTTTATTCTTAATACAAATAAAATACAAATGGGTTCCATTTGTTTTGATTTTTTAAATAAATAATAAAACAATTATTGAATTTGGTTTTTGCACAATATGAAGAATTATCAAGATCAAGCCCTCAGTTTGCCATAACAGTTATCAACCTCAGCCTTCGGCTTCAGTTGATAATGGCAAACTTTGGGCTTGATAATTCTTCATATGCTCAACCTCATTCAATAATTGTTAGATATTAATTAAAAACTGTTTTTACATCAAGAGTTAATAGTCCCTTATAACTGACTGAGGAGTGTCTCAGTTTAGGAAGCAAAATTTTTTATAGGGTATAATTTACTAATTATGATTATATTTTTTTCAAATAAATAAAGTTTTCCTTTTACAGATTCCAATATGATGGATCTCTGGTGGCATTTGCACGCTGTGCTTGGAGCCGTATTAAATGTACATGAAGAAATCAATGGACTTGTACAAATGGTTTGTTAGGTCATAATATTGTTTGTGCAGTGGAAGAAAGTGTTATAATACGGCTTTGTGAAACTCTATTTGCCACAACACATTGCTGTGCAAACAGAACTAAACATAGTGATGTATAAGAATGACAGAAAATAAAACTTATGTAGTGCATACAGAATTTTCTATTTTTTAAATACATAATATAGGTAATATAATATAGTACAATTTTATTTCTAAAAATTTTCTAAAAGTAAGAAAATATAAGAAACATTTCTTAAACTGAGAACAATGAAAAATGTCATAAGTTGAAAAGATAAATAGCCTAATTTAGTATGTTATATGTAAATATAGCCTGTTATATTTGCCACATTTTTATCTGTTATAAATTTTTTTTCACTAGTTTCACTTTTTCCTTCACCTTGGTAAATAACTCTTTTAGGCAGTTTGATTTAGAAGATTATGCAAGAATTTCTATATGATCCAATATGAATTTCTATGTAAATCTAAGGAATTCCTATAGGAATTCCTATTAGATTTTGTACCAATTTCCTATAGGATCCTATAGGAATTCCTATACCTATAGGAATTCCTATAGGAAATTGGGCCAAAATCTAATAGGAATTCCTATAAGATTTCCTATAGGAATTCCTATAGGATTTTTTCGTAAATTCTTGCTCACAGCTATTTTCTTTTTGTTCAGATTAAGAATATGTAATCCCGAAATGCTTCTAAGTCTGCTAAGAGCAACATAATGCATATGCTCTTGCTTTAACGATGGAAGGTCAACAACAGTTTCGTTTAATGTATCTCCTTGACAAGGGTGAATAGTTTTGGCTGCGGAAACTGTCTGCGAAGAACTTGTATTTTATTTTTTGTAAACTGTCTTTTTACCTCGAGAATTGGAACCCATTTTTTTCTATACTTTGATTGTAAAGATAAGAGTATTCTCTGCGATAATCATTCGCAATATGTTGTTCTTGAAATAAAACCCAGATAATACTTGCTCTTGATGAACCTTCTACTCGGTAATCGATTTTCTTGATGATATATTCAGCACCATTAGTCATACCATACACACGTTTGTTGTGAGGTCATATTTTGCTTCCTTAAGTATTGAACATATTGAGTACAAGCCCATGGTTTTCGAAGGAGTTTTTGTTTTTTGAGTCTTTCTTTCACATCGTCAGATAAATCTCTATTGTACAATGTCTATTGCTTTAATGTCGACCTTCTCGTTTGAAGATTTCTGGAAAACGTCATGATTATGTTGATCAACTGCCATATTAGTACTGAATAAATGGGTTAAAGATATTGGATAATCAGGAATGTTGAATGTTGTGAACTAATGTTTAAAATTCTTTCTTTCAAAATTTTAATGTCAGCTTCTGTATGATTTCCTTCTCTGATACGATTTAAAATCTCAGCAAACTCTTTGTCTTCCCTTTGTCTCATAACTTCAGATAATTCAAACATTTGAAAATATTTTTGCCAGAGATTTGTTGCTAATGCAGCATAACCATCCTTGGAATTCTCAAATATCCAATTATCGAACACAGGTTTCAGTTGAAATAAGTCGCCAACTGTTATTATGCTAAGACCGCCAAATGGTTCTTTTGTACCCACGATTTGTTGCAATCGTAAGTCAAGAAAATTAAACATAGCACTTCCTACCATAGATATCTCATCAATAAAAATAACTTGCATTCTCTGTAACTGAGATCTTATTGTATTGAATCTGTCTCTATCTAGTGTACAATAATTGAATCCTCTGTTTGCAGGAATTTTAAAGGCGGAATGAAGTGTATTTCCTCTTATGTTGAAAGCAGCTTTGCCGGATGATGCTACTTTTACAACACTGACGTCATCAGGATCATTCTGAGGTTGAGAATTTAAGTATCTTATGAGAGCTTCATACAAAGCATTAGGGCCAGTACTTTTACCTACACCAGCACCTCCACTTAAAAACAGTCTCATTGGCAGCTTATATCAGTCTTTACAGAGTTCAGTACATGGTAAAAAAACTCTTTTTGTTCAACATTAAGTTTTCTAAAATCGGCATCACTCAGTCTTTTTACAACAAGTTCTTCATCATCATTTGTTCGTGGATATATACCAATATCATTTATCAGGATCGAAGCATCCGAATAATTCACTTGCTTTTGGCCCAATTTCTCTGTCTTGTTCATCTCTATACTGCGTATTCGGAGACTAGATTTTTAGTCGGCCGGCCAAGGTGGCAAAAAGTGCCTCTAAAGAGAGTTTGATGGCAACTTTATGTTAGAAGCTGGTAACAGGCATTTTCTTACAGTTCAAGCCTTGGTGAATAAGACTGTGTGTGTTACCACTTCTGATTTTTGCTTTATAGCCAAAAAATTGAGAATTTTAAAATTTTGCCTATTAAATTACTATGATGGCAAAAAATGTAAAATTTCATGTTCTCTTATACAAAAAATGAACTATACCACTAGAAAGATCGCAAAAAATATATATATATAAGACAATTAAGCGACTAGTGCGATTTTCAAGCCGATTTTGAATTAAAGATGGTTAAAGTTGGCAAAATGGGTACTAATTAGCATTAATTTGGTCATTTCTGCATTTTTTAGCATTAAAAACTCGTAATAGGATTGGAAAATTGTAGAACTCACTTAATTGTCTTATATATAGTTTTTTATGCTCTTTCTGGTGGTATAGTTTATTTTCCGTATAAGAGAACTTGAGATTTTACATTTTTTCCGATCATAGTAATTTAATAGGCAAAATTTAAAAATTCTCAAATTTTTGGCTATAGAGCAAAAATCAGAAGTGGTAACACATATAGTCTTGTTCACCAAGGCTTGAACTATAAGAAAATGCCTGTTACCAGCTTCTAACATAAAGTTGCCATCCAGTTGTACAAAATGATGACTTGGCCAGCCCGTCTATTTCTTCACTTTCAATATCTTGTACTGCCTGATCAAGAACTTCGGTGTGATTCTAGTATTGTTTTCTGTTTTGTTCTATCACATTTTTGATAATTTCATATCGATCCTGGTAAGTTTCAAAGTCTTTCAGAAGATCTGTATTTTCATTTCTCCAAGCGATGTAAAGCAATTATCTGTTCTCTACAATAATTTTTTTGATCGTTGGTTTTATTAAATCTAACCGACCGTATGATTATTGGCCTTTGTCTCTTCATGAGCGTCATTCCACCTGTCATTTCATATTCCTCATTTTCAAATATTTTCTGTTCTTTATCAGAAAGATCATCATCTACATTATCATCGAAGTTTGCATCATTTAAGTTTGCTTTTTTGATTACTGTCATGCACTTTTACAATTGAACCAGGGGCGGATCTAGGGGTCGTCAAACCAGTCACGCGACTAACGTAAAAATTACAAACTTAATTAAAGTCTTAAATATTCGACCAATAGTCCGGTTATTTTTTATCATGCAGCGATACCTTATAATAGTCCAGTATCTATTATCATGCAGCGCTAGCAATCTACATTCCAACTGTAGTCCAGTGATCAAATTTCATACAGTGGTTGAGCCGACGAGCTTAGTCAAGTCAATGAGCAGCTGACATACGCAAAGTCGGTCAGTCAAAAAGTCAAAATCCAGTGTTTTGATTGGTCTAGATGCTTATTGCCATGGTAACAAGCGATTTTTTGCGATTTTGACTGATCTGTGGGGATTTCTGACTGACTTACAAAAGTCAGGGGCGCTCCATTAGTCGGAATATCATTAATATTTGACGCGTGGTAAAGTCTTTCCGAGCGCGCACTCATTCGAAGTGTCATGTTGTAGCTTTGTCGAAAGATTCAATTTAAAGATATCCACGGAAAATTCGGAAATGTCTGCTGCTCCAGACTACAGTCCTTGTAGTATTCACGAAACGGTTCAATCCGCATTTGTGGTGAATGATTTAGCTGTCTTACAAGACTGTTGCGCTGATCTTGGGAGGAAAATCAACGCTAAATATCGGAGAGTTCCATTCAGTGAGAAGTTGCTGAGCGGTGTAAGCGCCACGAATAGCACGAACTACAGTTTGACTGTTTGAGTAGAAGTATTGACGCCGAGATCTTTATTCTGAAGTGCAATAAGGTAAATTTAATGTGATATCATGTAAATTTTATTTCGTTTTACACAAGCATAACGATATTGATAAGCGAACAAGATGCGCGCCATGCATATGTAAAATTGTAACTTCAATACGCGTATCTTGATTTAGATTTAGCTATGAATTTTGATTTACACAACAAATTTGCATATTTGTAATTCTGCGGTTGAAAGTCCATCAGAACTCAGAAGGCTATTAATATGGAGGATAATCTATATAAATGCATTAATGCAGTGTACATAGGATATAAAGGTCAGGTTTTATAGATGAATGTTAAGACTTTAATATTATATTATATGTTTACTTGAGTAATATGACACTGTAGTGATTACTAGTCAAGTGATCAATTACTCAACAAGGCTATTAGGCAACAAAAATGAATGTAGTACTATCATGAGATAGTTAAACATAATACTACCAATCCACAATTTGATAAAATGAAACATCTTCCACAATTATCACATTTCTGCAAGTACTTCTCTTTTACTTTTTTTCCCTAAGGAGCGAGTTGTGAGAGTCAGTCAGACTGATAGTTGCTATAATAATTATCTCCCATTTCATGAAGTTAATTTTTTGTTGAAGCTGCTTTCAAGTGATGCAAATTGCGTTTCGGAGGTTTAAAAATATAAAAATTCCTGGGAGAGAGACTGACAGACCCCCTAGGTGCCTCGCGCATTCGCCGCCCGCAAAACTAGATTGTACATCCGAAAACTTTGACTAACGTACGAAAAATCCTGGATCTGCCCCTGAATTGAACCAAGCCACAAATCAGCCAGACATAAATTTTCCAATTTCTTTGGTCTTCTCTGATATCCTTTAATAATGTTATCTGATTCAATATCAACAGAATGATCAGGAAGTTCTTTAATTTTATCCATACTTTTTAACAAGAATGTTCTTTCATGTGGGTCAGATGTATTGATAAATTGGAATTCTCGAGATGATCATCTCAAAGGCATTTGCATTACTAAGTAGACAGCCTCTTGTGCACTTATTTCAACAGCATTGAGAAATTTGGTACCAATGTGTCTCACCTTGTTAACAATATTCTTATTGCATCCTTTTGCTTCTTCACATGCTTTACAAAGTAACTTGCTCATTCCTCTTTGACCTTTAGTAATATATGAAAGGATATAAACAGCACAAGCATAAGGATCTAATAAGTACTGAATATCCATATTAGCTTTCCAAGCTTTGAGTAAATTTGGATTATAACAGTTGATTCTAATCTCAGCTGGCAATCGTTTCAATAACAAAGTGTTACGTTTAAGAGAAAGCCGTATAGCCTTCAGATATTGCTGTTTTGAGAAATTCATCAAAGGTCATGGTTTCATCTGCTTTAATAGAGTCTAATAATGAACGTATCTGTCCTAAAGCTTTCTTTAATATATCTGCAACATTTTCGTCTTGATCAGTCTTAGACAAAGGCTCTAAAATCATAGTTCTCAGCATTGGCGGTAAAGGAAAGTTAAATCTGCAAACAGCATTTCCTCTTTTCTTGCATGTTTTAGAGTGTTTGTGCCTTTGTAAATTTACGAGTTCAGTTAAATCATCTGAGTCAGCTTTACATGAAACATAGCTACCTACAAAATTGGTTGTATCTTCGTTGGAATCTTTACCATACTCGGATGCATTTTTGATCCAGAATAATCCATGGATATGTGGAGAACCTCTTTGCTGGAATTCAACACGATAGAAAAAGTCAACAACTTCTCCAATTGGATGGCATGAACTTTTAATAAAATTGTGAATAAATTGTTGCACCATATGTTCAAAATTTTGAGCACATGTTACTGGATCTTTCTGTATCAGTTCAGACTTCTTTTGCCAAGTCATTTGCTTAACCTCATCGTCAGTATAGTGTTTGTTGTCAATAAGACGACCAAGAATTTTGAACAAATGAATCCAACGCGTTTCAGCAGCTGAAAATGAACAGAACCATGTAGGTTTACCAAGCTGACGAATCATTCCAAATAGATCCTTCTTACATCTTTCAAAGTATGGAGGGGAACCACGTAAATTTCTTAAAACTCTGAATTCTTCATCTCAATTGATTAGCTTATTAACAGAACTTTCAGACTTCAAATCTCCTGCTGTGTAAGTTTTACCTTTGGTTTTACATTTATCAGGTCGTATTGCGCATGTTGTTTATCTTTTCCAGGATCGAAGCATCCGAATAATTCACTTGCTTTTGGCCCAATTTCTTTGTCTTGTTCATCTCTATACTGCGTATTCGGAGACTAGAATTTCTTCACTTTCAATATCTTGTACTGCCTGAAGAATTGTGACATGTTTCAGAATAACTAGTCTCATTGACCTTTGACTCATTCCCAAGGTCACCTTCTGTTTCATGACTTTCACGTTTTCCCATGTATTCAATGTCACTTTAGATTTCAATAGTTTCACATTTATAGCAGTGTTTATAGCAGTTTTGATAAGCTTTGATATAGATAGATTCTTGTTACCCGTGAACAAGGTAATGGTAACACGCTGGCTACCTCCTTGCCTTTTTCTTCTATTGCATCAAGCTTGCTGGCAAGTCAAGCGATTGGCGATAACATGTGGGCTATCTCCTTGCCTTTCTCTTCTATTGCGTAAAGCTCGCTAGCAAGTCAAGTGATTGGCGATAACATGTGGGCTATCTCCTTGCCTTTCTCTTCTATTGCATAAAGCTCGCTGGCAAGTCAAGCGATTGGCGATAAAACGTGGGCTATCTCCTCGTCTTTCTCGTTTAAATAAAGAGCCTTGATGAGTCAAGAGATTTGCTTTAGTGTCGCAAGTTATTTTCTTTGCAAACGCCATACAAACAGCCTTTTGTAAGTTGTTTACGCTCTGCTGAATGGTGTGATGCAATTTTTGCTGTGTGGACTTGATGCAGCAGCCAATCAGATTATTGAATGTTAGCACGTGATGGTGTTATGCAATGCTAATCTCTGAACCCTATATAATCCATGTCCATATTTAGACTGCCAAACACGCATGATTGACACGTGCTGCATGTGTGGTTTTAGCACAGACTCTGTGCTCCACAGTGTATTTAATTATACTTGCGAGTGTACTTATGTACTACGATATTTTCAGTGTACTGAGTGTAGCAGCAGCAGCACCTTATACAAGTCACTATATATAAATGAGTATACCATCTAAATAGAGTAATATCGGAACTTAATTGAATGCCCGTAATGAATAACATGAATGCCTAGAATCTCAAAGATTTTCTCAATATTTACATCTGAAATGTTTATACATTTGAAAACAACTCTGTTGCTCCTTCCTAGCTCTGTATAATGAATATACCGTCCAGTGCTGTTAAAGTTACTTTATTTTTGGAACTAGGTACAGTTACAGTTACATGCTCAAAAATGGAACGAGTTACTGGTAAAAGTTACAAGTTAAACTAGTTACCATTACTTTAACTTTTTTGTAACTTGGTAAAAGTTACTTTTCCAGGTTTCACTATGTTACAATCTCTTTTAGTTAAATTAATGAACTTTTTCATGGGTAACCTAATATTTTTCTTAAAAATGCGATAACCTAACAACAACAACAACTAAAAACATTAAACATCAAACATTACTGGATAATGCTATGTACAGTGTCACTGCCACTTATCAGTTATCACTTGCTCAATATAACTGAAAGACATTAAAATACCGGATTAAATCAATATATAAAATGTTTTTTGTTCAACTTAACAAGAAGAGAATTTTCAAAATTATCATCTTTCATTGAACATCAGTGTGGCCTAAAAATTAAACCAGCACAGCTGAATAGCTTCTCGCATGCTGCACTTGCAGGTAATGGTGCGTTTAATTCAATAAACAATTGACGTAACTTGGGAAATCTTGAGTAAATAGCCAATTCATCTGCAGGACTGTCAAGAAACAACTCCAACTCAGATGTACACGATTTTTTCTTGCTTTTGAAAAACTCATTGTCATCACTCACTGTATGTTGCACTGGCTGTCTTAAAACTCTCTTTTACTTTTTCAGGATTTGATTCTCTGTATGTTGCACTGGCTTTTTGCCAAGATTCCTCGAGTTTTTGTATTTCTTATTATGACTTTTTTCTCACGCTTTCTTTTTTTTTAAATTCGGTGTTTGACCTTTTTGCCATGTATCTTTCATGTATTCTTTTCTTTTTTGAATTTTTTTCATTGAGACAGAGTTTTCTGAGATACGTTTGTTACTATTAGTATTAAATTGCGAATTTTGTGGGTTTGGTTTTTGTTTATCAGTTGCTGTCCGATTTCCAATTTGTTCAGAAGCAGATTAACTCAATAAATTACAGAACTATTCACAAGACTTATTGTTTATGGAACTGTAAAACTATCTTATTGGGCTATTACCTTTCTGAAGCAAATCTTTGTCTTCAGTCCATTGGTCCTTGAACTTTGGATGAAGAATGGCTGCTGCAATGATTTTCTCATCACCAAGAACTGAACCAAATCTTTTATCAATACCAGACAACAAAGCATTTACCAGGGGTTCCAAACTTGTTGTCGAGCTTCTCCTTTGGAGTAGCTTTTCTTTCAGCAGTGATATTGTTGGAGCAAGATAGCCCATATAAGCATTTGAATGATTGTTTTCCCCTTGCAAAATATTTAATGATTGTGCTACTGGCTTCATCACATGGGCATAGTCCTTCAGAAACTGGATTTCTGCTTGTTTAAATCTACAAAGGACACAAAAAATTTCTAAAACAAACAGACCCTCGGTCTTTTGAATAAATACAAATATAAATGGAATATATGTATTAATCTTGTTCACTCTTGATTGCTGAGCTACTACATTTATTTGATGCTTACTTGGGCAAATTTAACTCTGTGCATAGCTTGTGGATAGCATTTTCACCCTTCTCCTTTATAATGCGGACCAGGCGCTCCACTGCCAAAAATACTGAGTTCCAGCGGGTTGCATTTGGTTTCAATAGGACAAGACCACATTCATCCTCAATAACTTCTGCTGCCTGGGAGGAATGCATCAACAGTAGAAACTAGGTTTAAACTGTGTGCAGCACATCGATGATGGGGTGGAAGGTGATACTCCAAGCTGTCTTCCGCTCTTGTAAGGTGTTCAGATACATCTTCAAATACAAAGTCATCTGACTCATCTGGTTGTTCAGCATTAGCTCCAAATACAGAAAATGCCTTTACAAAATTAGATCCACTGTCAGTTGTTGTCATGACAATCTTTGTCTGAATATCATATTCCACATGGAAGTCTTCCAGCTTTGCAGCTAATACATCATAAGTATGTCTACCCTTGAGACATGGACATGCTAGAGCAGCACTTTTTTCGTTGTACATCAATCCAGTGCGAGGTAACTCCAGTAAATGATCTTTGGTGAGCTGTCCAACAATCGGTTGTTGCAATATGTTGAGCCTTTGCCATTGCATCTTTTACATTTTCTTTAACCATGGTTGCCTTCTCGTTGATCCTTTTTATGACTGTTGGTCTACTTATTACCGACCGATTTGGTTGGAGACCTGTAACTAGCACCTTGAAGGATGGCGTTTCAACGACTGAAAATGGCATTAGTCCCTCAGTAATGAATTCAACCATGAGATCGTTCACTTTGGCTTGCGATACTAGATTGGTATTTGCAGGACCTGCTATCATAACACCTACTTTTTGCTGCTTTGCCTGTTTTTGTGGTGTTTCAAAAATCTCGTTAGACACTTTTCGTTTATGAGAACTTGAACAAATTTCATTAAATCTGTCCATTTGACGTGGATGCACCTTCTGAAATTTAGGATAATTTCGACAATATTTTACAGTATATTTCAGTGTTATAATCTTACTACTGGTCTATATAGTAGGTTCTATTAGAATTTGTATAGTTTATAAACTACTTTAATATTTCCATTCTGTTTTCCTAACTCAACAATTGATAACTAGAGTGAAAAAAACCCTTTCTGTTGCGGTGTGCAATGAAGCACATGAATCTAAGAGATTAAAAAATTACATGGGCTGTAAAATGTAATGTAATTTAATTTCAGAATCATCCTCAGAGTTATGAAAAACCAATTTGAAATTTCATATATTCTTTATTCAGTTTAAGTTTAATATATGAATTTCTAAAATGTAAATTACCACAGTTCACCAATCAGTCCAATCTGGTAAATTTACCAGTGTACTAAAATCAGTTACTTACCTGAACATGTTTGCGTAAATTTGAAAGCGATGACACACTGGACGAACACTCTTACTTTTGGTCGGCAGAGCAAACAAAGCAGTTTTGCATTTTTGTCTTTGACTGACTTGCATTCAAACATCTCTGCCAAATATGGCCAAGGATGCTCGCATGAAGTCATTGCTCAATTACGCATTAAATTCTGAAGATTACTATGTTTAAATATTGAATTATTCAACTAAATCACAATGAAACAATATCAATATGAGTAATATGCGCCTGTGAACAGTGGTCAGCAAAACCAAAACATGATGGACGTTATGTAGCCCACCTTAGAATGCATTGGAATATTGTCAGATTTTGAAATAACGAAGTGTTATGAACAGTTCATTTCAGAGTAAAAGCATTACAGAAATGGTAAAAATGACCATGAAAATGTAACAGAAAAGTAACATTGACAAATGTAACTCGTTATAGTTCAATTTTTAGCAACTAGTTACAGTTGTCAATTTTTTAGCATAACTAGTTACAGTTACAGTTACCTTGTTGCAAAATGTAACTAGTTACCCATAGAGTTACCATAAAAAGTAACGATTACTTGTAATTTTGTTACTTGTAACAAAGTTACTTACAGCACTGATACCGTCTACATATATCAGTACTTGATTGAAAGACTGTCTTGCATAACATAAATTTATATATTGCATAGATGCTCAAAGATTTACTCAATATTCACGTCTGAAATATTTATACATTTGAAAACAACACTGTCCTCCTTCCTAGCATCGTGATCTACGGCTTCACAGCACATGCACATTTGCGCTGCTATAGAAAAAATCGAGTGTTCCAGGGGAAAGATCCTTTACACAACATGAGAAGCATATGTTCTAAAATTACAAAATTTTACAATAACGACAACGATTCATCGAAATTTTTGTGAACTTGGCAAAAGGACAAAAAATATTTAAAGAAAATAAATAAAATTGCTTAAATAACCTTCAAAGCACTGTCTAAGTACAATAAATCACTGCGAACATAAATCTTATACACCCCCCGGAAAGTTTACTCTATGATTGACTGATTCGTGTGAATTCGCCAGCCATCACAACAGTGTGAAGCGAAACTTCACACTAAAAAGGAGACGGACTGGACCGGGAAAACACGGACTGAGTCCGTGTTTTACAAATCGCGGACTGAATTTGTAAAACACAGACTGGACTGGACCGGGAAAACACGGACTGAGTCCGTGTTTTACAAATCGCAAACTACGATTTGTAAAACGCGGACTGAGTCCGTGTTTTACAAATCGCGGGCTGCGATTTGTAAAAGGCGGACTCATTTACTGAATGCACTAAGAATGAACGGTCGCAGTAAAGTATTGTCTATTCTCATGACAAAGTTCAATGTTTTTACCGAGAAAGTTCAATGATTTTGATGATCATTTATGATCATTTGGTGGTTTCAAAGCTTGGATCTGGTTGTTCAACAGATTAATTAACATCAGATCAGAACCTGTCAAGTGCTCTTGACAAACATCGAAGATTCTCACGCGAATAGGCAACGTTTTTATCAACGACCGTTCATCCTGCAAGCAACAGTACATGGACTCAGTCCTGTTGTACTGACTCGGTCGTAAAAGTTTTGGCGGGAATTGCACTCAGTCGTGAGAGTTTTGGCGGGAATTGCGGATAATTATAGGTCGGTCAAGGAATAATCATATCCTGGAGCTAAGGTTGGTAAAAATTACTATTATTTATTTATTGTTTGAAATAAACTGATGAACAGCGTTCAATCTTAGGAGCACGCTCAGCCATGTGGGACTTTGTGCAACTATTGTTGAGGAAACTCGTGCATATATCAAGTGTGGCCGTTTCATGTAAATAGTTGTATGCCTGTATATTGTATATTGTATGCTCTTATAGCAGATACCATTTAGTGTTAATCATAATTAGAAGAAAATAGAGTTAATTCGTTTATTCAGTTGTGTTCGTGGCGAAGAGGGCGTATTAAATAAAGGTGTCTACAAATTTGCGAGAAATATGAAATGAATACTCTAATCGAATTTGCCTCTTAAATCACATTTGTGTTATTAACTTTTATTGTTGTCATACGAGGAAGTTTCTAAAAATCGTTATTCGATTATAGTATTCATTTCGCATATTTATCGCAAATTTATAGACACCCTTTTACACCCGTTTTCAAAATTACGCGACCTCCCCGAAAAATACTCTTTACTTCAAATGTCAATTTTATGTCACAAAAACTGCTAAAAATAGCAAACGTAAACAAACTGTCAAAAGACATTTTAAACCGTATTTAATACCAAAACTGAACAAAAATGAGTTAGATACAAGCACAATACAAACCATCACAACAGAAATATGTGTCGTGAATAACTTTTAAAGTTTGAAAAATAACAATTTATCCAACCTCGTGGTTGCAATTTATCCTGGAATATAGCTGTCAGTATAAAACACGCGCTAGAACGGTGATCAGGGATGCTGGAAGTTGCTGAGGGCAAGGGGTGCAATTGGTTAACAAAAGAGCATACTCCATAACAAAAGGGCACCAATGAAAATGTAATGGCTTCATGATCCAACATTCGTGTCGACCTCCCTCCCTGTCACCAATTTTTTTCAGACCGAATACAATTATTTAGGCACAATTCCTCCGTAATTAATGCTTCAATAAAAATTCCATAAGTAATGCTTTCCGTTTCACCTTTCGCCAAATGGATAACACTGAACTTTGCCGAATTCCTGACGACTGCGGGTGGAACACCCCCACACACATCCTCAAGCGACATTTAATTCTGTCTAAAGTTTTGTGCACCGATACACCCATAGTCTGCACCCGCACTGCACCCACAAAGTTGAAAATGCAAAAGGCAAGGGGTGCACTTGCACCCGCTGCACCTGTGGTTCCAGCATCCCTGACGGTGATGTTATGATTTTGTTTGTGCTTAAATTTTGCAATAATTCCCACTAAAAAATATCTTGAAATCATTGTAAGCCTGTTTATATAAAGCATACAAAGCATATACATCGACAAGGAACCGCAAAACTCAAAGTTTAAACTTCGTGTAGTTTGTGACCGAATGACATAAAACTGACATGTCAACTCTAGCATTTTCGTCCTTGATCGTGTAATTTTGAAAACGGGTGAAAACGTTTGAAAACTCTTCGCCACGAACACAAAATAAACAAATTAACTCTATCAATTGCTGTTAAAACATGGCTTAAACCCTTATTTTTGGACCAATATAAATTCTATAGTTCCCTCTGAAAGCCCTGTAAATTACTTAACTCAACATTCTATCATTTAAAATCTTTGATTTATTCAAAACAATAAATAATAGTAATTTTTACCAACCTTAAGCTCCAGGATATGATTATTCCTTGACCAACCTATTAATATCCGCAATTCCCGCCAAAACTCTCACGACTGAGTGCAATTCCCGCCAAAACTTTTACGACTGAGTCAGTACAGGACTGAGTCCATGTACCGTCGCTTTGCCTATTCGTGTGAGAATCTTCGATGTTTGTCAAGAGCACTTGACAGGTTCTGATCTGATGTTAATCTGTTGAACAACCAGATCCAAGCTTTGAAACCACCAAATGGTCATAAATGATCATCAAAAACATTGAAGTTTCTTGGTAAAAACATTGAACTTTGTCATACGAATAGACAATACTTTACTGCGACCGTTCATCCTTAGTGCATTCAGTAAATGAGTCTGCCTTTTACAAATTCCAGCCCGTGATTTGTAAAACACGGACTCAGTCCGCGTTTTACAAATCTTAGTTCGCGATTTGTAAAACACAGACTCAGTCCGTGTTTTCCCGGTCCAGTCCAGTCCATGTTTTACAAATTCAGTCCACGATTTGTAAAACACGGACTCAGTCCGCGTTTTCCCGGTCCAGTCCAGTCAGTCTTTTACAACATGCCGTTTATTTCCAATGACTTAAACTTTAAATTTCTTCCAGACTTTGATATCAATGAAGAGGGAATAATCGAATCACTTTTCATTGAAATTATTACAACAAGTTGGCAAAAACATAATAGTTGGCACACTTTATAGACCACCAAATGGTAAATTTGAAAATAATTTAAACAAAATTCTCAGTAAAGTTGATAAGTCAAACAAAGTAACATATTTTATGGGGGGTTTTAACATCGACCTTTTAAAATCAGAAAGTCGCGACTTTTCTAATAGATTCAGTGAGCAATTTTTTACATCATCATTTTTTCCTGTTATTACAAGACCAAAAAGGATAATGAAACACACTGCCACGTTAATTGACAATATATTCACCAACGACCTTGAACAAATTGAATACAGTAAGAATGGATTAATTTTTACTCATATCTCAGATCATCTTCCTATTTTTCATATCGCATCACTAACAATGAAAAAAAAATCATTCCAATTTAGAAACTTCACAACATCAAAGAACAATAAACAATGATAATCTCGCATCATTCTTAAATTCAGTGAATGATACATCATGGGATCTCATTTTTGAAAACAATGATGCCTGCGAATCGAAACCTTAGCAAAAAGGAGAAAAAGAACTATTGATTATGGTAAAAGTCCCTGGATGACCCAAGGTATTTCAAAGTCTATAGAAATAAAAAACCGTCTTTATAAAAAATGCCTTAAAAACCCAAGTAAAAAGAACCAAACAATCTACAAAAATAAATTAAAACATTTAATCAAAATAACAAAAACAGATTATTTTGAAAATCAATTTATTAAATACAAAAACAATAACAAAATGACATGGCAAACTATAAATCGAATATTAAATCGAAATAAAAACAAATTGCCGGACATGTTTCAACAAAAGAATTCAGATGTTAGTTTTTCTGACCCAGTTGTGATTGCAAACAAATTTAATGAATATTTTGTAAATGTTGGACCAAATCTGGCAAAAGTATTAAGAAAAAATGACACAATAAAATTCGAAAATTATATCAAAGTTTGCTGAACCTATGAATGAATGATAATAATATTTATTCAGGAAACCAACATCACAAGAAGTGTTTTCCAGATGGTTCTTACAAACATTAAAATACAAAGTATAGAAAATATATATAATGTGCATGCAGTATTTACATATTGGTATATGGATATATATAATATACTATAGGATACATGATGCTATACATATGCGACTATAGGATACATGATGCTATTATGAAAAATTATGAGACTATAGGATACATGATGCTATACATATTTACAAGGATACAAAGAGTTAGTTATATTTTAAATATATTGTATGGGTATTATAAAGATAGAGATTTGAGAAGTTCATTTCTAAAGGTTCCTAATTATTCAATGGATCTAGTAGTATAGTCCAAATCGTTGTACTCTTTACAAGCCTGGAAAAGCAGTTTTTTACAGAGGTATATATCATCTCTGCGTCTTGTGTTATATAAATGATTAGTTTTAGGCAGTTCGAGATTAAACTCTGTTAAATTATTTTTAAATTTATATATGGTTAGTATTCGGTGTAGTTTGCGTCAATGGGTAAGTGGTTGCCAGTGTAATTTGTTGAGGGTTTCAGTGTATGAGGATAGGCAGGGAGCATCAAGAATGGTCCTTGCAGCTTTATTCTGGAGAACTTGTAGTTGATCCATCAAGGAGGAGTTATTCTTGTCACCCCATATATCTCTGTAGTCAAATAGTGGAAGAATAAGAGCGTTGTAGATGATAAGTCTAGTTTTGAGTGGAATGAAGGTTTTAATTCTTCTTAGCAGTCCGATGCGTTGGTTAATATTTGTTGAAATATTATTTAAATGGTCAGACCAAGTGATATTTTCTGAGGAAGTTATACCTAGATATTTAAAGGTACGTTCACAGGCAAGTTGATGTTTGTTGACATGTATGGATATATTAGTGAACGACTTCAGATGGCTGTTACTACCAAACAGGACGAATTTAGATTTTTTTGCAGTTCAATGTAAGTAAGTTTTGATCAAGCCACTGGGAGATCAAGTTAAGGTCCTCGTTTACATATTTCTCGATGTCGCTAACTGATTTGGATGAGTAGTATAGAAGAGTGTTGTCAGCGTAGAGTAATATCTTGCAGTGTTTTAAACCTATTACTGAATATGAAATAATAACTGAGATTGAAAAACTAAATACAAACAAAAATGCAGGATATGAAGAAATAAGTTCTAAAATGGTAAAAAAAAATAAAACACAAGATCAGTAAACCTCTTGCACATATTTTCAACTTAAGGGACTGCTCATTATTTATTGTACAGGGGGAGACTGAGGAGAATCTCTACAGTTATAATATTTTTTTGTTGCCCCCCTCTTAAGACAATGAAAATTTCCAAAGCCCCCCCCCCAACAGGCAAAACAAGAACATAAATTTTGCCCCCCTCCCTCTCACTCTATCTTTGTTTAGAGAAACAAAAACTCTAGCTCTTTATTTAGCAAAACAAAGTGAGATTGCTGGTTGTGAAATGTTGTAAAATGTAGAAAATATTAGCCTTCCAAAGTTTGCAAATTTTTTATACTTTTGTACTGCAATTTTCGCATGCAATACAAAAGTATACAAAATTTGCAAACTTTGCAAGGCTATATTTTCCGTATTTTACAACATTTCGCAACCAAACTTTGCAATAATTTACTTATTTTAGTATCTTCTAGCTGTGGTGATTTATTTGCATGAAGGCCGGATTTTGAGGGGAGGTGCGCACCTCCCCTGAGATCGTTTTGCACCTCCCCTGAGAATTTTTGCACCTTTCCTGAAAGGTCATGCACCACCCCTTCGGAAAATTTCATTGATGGAACGAAGTGAAAATGTGATATGGTTGCTTAGGATCTACACTTTGTGACATAAGAAAGTTTTCTCTGTAAAATTGAAACAGGGATAGGCCATTCATCTCTGTGTCAAGTACCCTTTTAATGCAATGTTTTGAAAGAAACTTTGTAGCAAATTGTAATGAAGGGCAAGATTGGAGTCATACAGTCATAATTCAGTAATACACTGGTACATATGTAATGTACACTACATGCATACCTCACCTCCTTGATATCGGCCTGTTCTACAATAAGCCCTAACTTTCCGTGGGGGTTGTGAGGTAGACTGCTGCACCTCCCCTAAAATGTTTTTCCACCTCCCCCACTATTTTTACCAAAATCCGACCTTGTTTTCCATCTCTTTGCCTAGTTCTAAAATTAGTCCATAATGGGAATTGTCTATTTATATGAATATTAAAGGTCTATAATCATTCTTATTTGTTGTCAAGTTGTTTTGTGATACATTTTTAAAACTACTAATGTTTTTTTCAAACTGGTAAATATTTTCAAAGCCCCCCCTTTCACGTTTTAAAAAAATTAAAGGCCCCACCAGTTTCTCCTCAATACCCC